CCCTTTTCCCACTCCTTCCCTCCTCATCATCTCCCCCCCCCCGCCAGTCGAAGCCATGCCTCCTCGTCAACGCCAGGGTTTCTTCACGCTTGTGGCCCCTTCTGACCCTCCTGGGGCCTCCATGAGGGTACTTCCAGGGACCCCGGGGGCTTCCCAGGGCGGTTTCCATGATCACGCACGATGGCCCAAGATGGCTTCCAGCGATTGGTCGTTGCAGAGGAATGAGGCCCCAGAGTCCTTCCACTGTCTTGGATCACATGGACTTCCCCAGGCATCGGACAGTCAAGAAGCAATTCCTCCCCCTTCATTCCCTCCGCCGATCGGAACACGGGCGCGCTGGTGCTGATTTCGCGGTCAAGACGGGGAGTCTTTGAACAAGTGGCACGTGTGCCATGGCTCTTGCACAAAAGGGAAGGGGAGGATGATGAGGTGGAGGAGGAGGGGGGAAGAGGGGGCAAGACATCGCCCCTCGGGGCCCGGCAGCGGGGCCCAAAGTCCCAGGTGGGGAGGGGGGACTGGGGCGCTGGGGGCGCGGGGGGGGGAGGTGGTGTGCGTCGCGACGCGGAATAAATGGTCGGGGCGGAGGGGGCACTGGGCGGGGCTTGGGGCAGAGGGCCACGGGGCGGGGGTCCAACTGGGGCGCTGGGGCGCGGGGGGGGGAGGGGGGAGGTGGTGTGCGTCGCGACGCGGAATAAAAATTGTCGGGGCGGAGGGGCACGGGGCGGAGCCCCCACTGGGGCGCTGGGGACGCGGGGGAGTGGGGAGGTGTGTGTCGCGACGCGGAAAGGGGCTGGCGGGGCTCCCGCTGGGGCGCTGGGGGCGCGGGGGGGCGGGGCAGAGAGCCACGGCGCGGGGGTCCACTCTGGCGCTGGGGACGCGGGGGGGGGGGGAGGGGCGACGCGGAACAACGCGTGCGTTGCGGAGGGGGCAGTGGGCGGGGCTACCGCTGGGGCGCTGGGGACGCGGGGGGGCTCGGGGCAGAGAGCCACGGCGCGGGGGTCCCACTCTGGCGCTGGGGACGCGGGGGGAGGGGGGGTATGCGACGCGGACTGATGCGTTCATGGCGGAGGGGGCAGTGGGCGGGGCTCCTGCTGGGGCGCTGGGGACGCGGGGGGGCTCGGGGCATAGAGCCACGGCGCAGGGGTCCCACTCTGGCGCTGGGGACGCGAGGGGGGGGTGCGACGCGGAATAAAGTGGTCGGAGCTCTAGACACCCTGTGCGAGAGAATAAAGAGGTCTTGGAGGTGTCTGGTCTCCCCCCGGCTCCAGGGTAATCATGAGAATGGCTCGGAATGAAGAGTTCGAGCCCAGCGAACGCCCCTGGGAACGTCTCGTCCTGTTCCTCATCCCAATAGGGCGCGTGGCTTGCCCGAATCCGAGTCAGATCGTTCATTTCCTCCTCCTCTTCCTCTTTCTCCGCCGACGCGGATTCCAGAAGGTCGAGTTCTTCTCGGGACCACCCTGCTGAGAGTCCAATTGGGGGGGCCTCAAAATGAGTCCGGGGACCCACAAGGGGCCTGCGGCTTGGAGAGGACAGGGGGTCTGGAGGAGACAGGGGCTGAAAGGATTGACCCTTGCCCCTCATCGATCCGTTTTCTCCATGTCCTTCCGCCGCCGGTCGAGTTGGTTGAGCGAGAACGATGCCACAGCCATGAGTTTGATGCGGCAACTTCGATCGGAATGGCGTCGCCTGCTCCCTCTGCCTTTCCCCCTCTTCGCCTCCCCTTCCTGCAGCTGCCTCGGCGGCTGCGCCCTCCTCCGTGCAGAGTCCACATCCCCCCCCACCCACACACACACACACACACGCACGCACACACACACGCACGCACGCACGCACGCACGCACGCACGCACGCACGCACGCACGCACGCACACACACACACACACACACACACACACACACACACACACACACACGCCAAGCGGCGTGTGCTGTGATGTGCTGTGATGTGATGTGCTGTGATGTGATGCGCTGTGTGTGCTGTGTTGCGCTGTGTTGTGCTGTGTTGTGCTGTGATGTGCTGCCACAAACGCACACACGCGGCCTCGCTGCGCTGTTGCTGCGCTGTGATGTGTAGCGGTGCGGCATCTGGAGCCATCGGCTCCGTGCTTGGAGCACTTGCCCCGGCCCCCGAGGTGTCGCTCCCGTCGTCCTTCGTCGCGGTCGTGTCGTCCGCCGTTCTCCTGAACCTTGCCGCCATGGAGCCCGGTGTCCGTGGCGTGGCAACCCTCCCGGTCAAGCAGCACGCGCTGCTGCTACGGCTCTGCCAGGTGTTTACTGCGCGCGCCCGTGTGGACCCCTCCCTCGCGGCAGCGTGGCTTCGTGACTCCCTAAGCCTCCTCCAGAGGCTGCTGTCTGATCGCGTGCGCCTTAGCATCCTTAGCCTGCGTCACGCTGCCTCTCTCCCCTCCTTCCCCCTCCCGCCTGCTTCCTGGTACTCGATGTCTTTTTCTGTAGGCGTTCGTGCGCCCAGCCACTGCCGTCGCCCATAGTTTGGCTGAGCCCGTGCAGCTTCCATGTCGGCATTGTGGAAGAAACAGTCCCGCGCACGCCTGCCCGCACGCACGCACCTGTCGCTGGCTGTGATGCGCTGCGCGGTGCGGCGTGGCGCCGTGCTCCTCCCCTCTCCCTTTCTTCTCTCTCCCCTTGCCCTCCCTCTTCCTCCCCCTCTGCCTCCCTCCATGACTGCCTGGATTGGGCAGTGCAGTTTTGGCGTACCCCTGCTGACGTCTCGCCGCGAGCGGGCGTTACGACGACGCCGGTGTCTCCCGTCGCGTCGCCAGGGCCGGCTGGCGTTACGACGGATTCGGTTTTTGTTGCGGCATCGGCGGAGCGTGCAGCATTGCTCTGCTGCCACCGCGTGCCCCACTGCCCCCTACTGCACTCTCCTCTTCCCTCCTCCTCTTCCTCTCTCCGTGGCTGCCCGAATTAGGTAGTGAAGTTTTGGCGTATCTCGGCCGGGACCCCGCACGGGAGCACAGGTCCGAGGTGAATGATACGTTATACTGCGAATTCGTATCCATGGGTGCCTCCTGGTGCAGCGATGGCTTGGCTGTGCGCACACACACACACACACACACACACACACACACACACACACACACACACACACACACGCATGGGTGGCTCAAACACGCGCCCTCACCCACCCGCGTTCCCACATGCTCCCGTGAGCCTTGTGCGGGGTGGCGCGGTGCAGGTGCGTCCCATCACGCCACCCGGAACCGACTGACAGTTTTCCACGCCGAGACAGCGCGCACACAGCACGGGTTGCATGCAGCGCCGGCTGCAGTTCCGTGGTTGTCTTGCGTCGCGTGTGTTTGTGCGTAGGTTGGCTCCACCAGTGCGGGGAAGGGGCCGGTCTTGGCGGTTGGGTGCTTTCAAGAGCGGCATGCGGGGTGCGTATGTTGGTGTTGGGTGGTTGCACAGCGGACCGTGCCCCACCCACGTACTTCCTTCTTTCCCACCGCCGCCTGCATCGTTTGCCTTGGCGCGCGGTTTGGGTTGAGACGGTGTGAAGATACGGCGTCCCGCATTAGGCGGGGGAACGAACGAACACACACACACACACACACACGCACGCACACGCACACGCACACACACACACACGTATATACATATATATATACATACACATACATACATACATACATACACATATACATATACATATACATATACATATACATATACATATACATATACATATACATATACATATACATATACATATGTGTATAGATATATAACGAACGCGAGGGAACCCAGTGGCACGGAGAAGGGGGAGGGAGACGGAGGGAAGGCGGGTGAGGAGCGCGCCCCGATGCGCGCTCCAAGAATTCGCCCCCCGCCCACCCGCACACAATTCCCCATCACTGCCCTCCTGGGGCTCACCGCCCCTCCTGGGACCTCGGTGTGGCGAAGAGGAGGTCCGGTGGACGGCACTGGCGGAGGTCCGTGGGCGTGCTGGGGCCGAGGAGTGCAGGGGGGATGGCGTCCCAGAGGAGAGCCCCAAACGGCTTCTAAACTGCCGCCGCGTGCCAACCCTCAGGCGATCGTAAGCATGGATCAAGGGGGCGTGGAGTAGCGACGGGTCCCGTGTCAGTGGGACATCGCGGTGTTCCGCCGCCGAGCAAGGCGGCCTTTGCCGCATTTGGGGGAGGGCACATCCCCCGATCGAGGGATTTGGCGACCGCGCGCCAAATCCATGGATGGTTAATCCATGGTTGCGCGCCCCCGAAACAATGTTCACAGAAGGCGCGCGCTGCTTCACCCCACATCCCTCCACCCCCGTTCTAACGAGCTTGGAGCCGCCCAGAAGGGGGGTGAGGACTTAAGGGATGATGCTATCATGGCTGGGACTGGGCGCCCCTTTTTTTTCTTCTTCTCCTTCTTCTTCTTTTCCTGTTTATTAGCGTTCGTCTTCTTATTCTTCTTTGTCTACTTACTATTATTATTTATATGATTTAAGTATGTATTATTTTTTACTCATATCATTATCATTGCTAGCGTTATTCAAAAAACTGTGATTATTAGTACGAATACGAGTAATGATATGATTCGGATTGTTCTTCCCTTTTTTCACTGCTTGTCCTGTTGCCCCCCCTCCGCACACACGAGCCGCGTAGAAAGCGGGGCCGTTTTCACCGACATTGGCGCGCAAGCTGCCCGCGTAAGGCCGCCTTCGTTTCCAATGGTTCTGTTGCGCGCTGGCGGCCTGCGTACGCCACCGCGTTTCGCGTGCGACCCGCTTCCTTCTGATTTCGCACGCTGCGGGCCATGATCTGCGAACCCCCGTCTTTGGACGCTCAGGAGGGGGACAAAGAACGCAGATACAATGAATCGTCGATTTCCCAGAAAATAGGGGAAAACATGGGAAGTGGGGGGGAAGACGAACACACAGAAATGATGGGACAGTTTGGGGAAGCCTGCTATTTGCGCATGTCTATTTGTGTGTCCCAGGGCCCCATTAAGACGCCCCCCGACGAGCACCCGAGCAGGGCCCTCGCCCGCGCGTTCGGCGACCTCGGGGACCCGCAGCCCTGGGCGCGGAAGCTGGACGACCCGCTGCTGCAGGTCTCCGCCGCCCTGCTCAGGACCCGAGGCGTCGGCGAGCACGGCGCACTCGCAGGGAAACTTCCACGTTCCAACGATTGGCCACTTTCCCTCTATCGCAGATAGCATCGCCACTTTCACGATTGGCACCACACCCCTTTATGCCACGTCCCTTTCCAACTTCCAGATTGAGACGGGGGTCTAGGGAAACGAGCAATGACATAAGCATAACAACTCGGGGGTCCGCGCGGATTTCTCGGATCCGCGCTGGGGCCCCCTGGCGGCGCATCCGGCGCCGCCCCTGGCGTGCTCCGCGCCAGGGAGGGGGATCCAGCGCGGATCCAAGAAATCCGCGCGGGAGGGGGATCCAGCGCGGTTCCTTAACTCGGGAGCCTCGAGACGGGGGGTCAGTGCAGCTCCGAGTGCTTATTTGTGGAGCATCCCTGGCTTCGTTTCGAGCAACTATTTTTACACCTTGAGTACCGCTGGTTCTTTTTGGAGGATCTCTGGCTTTTTTGGGTAGCCTTGAGACGAGGGTCGATGCAAACGGGCGGGCGGGTTTTGCAGCGGGCGGGTTTTGGTTGTTTTCGGCCTCCATAGGGGGCCCTCCTGGACCCTCCAGAAGTTTTTCAGGACGACGGACCGACCCAAGGGGTCGATGCAGTTTCGAGCAACTATTTGTTGAGTATCTCTGGTTCTTTGGAGCATCTATTTTTACACCTGTATGGGGGACAGGCCCGACCTGAGGCCAGCTCGGGTGCTCCTGCGGCCCCTCCGTCGTGCCGGAGCCTCTCCCGAGCCACCTCAGAGGTCGGGAGCCTTGAGACGGTGGTCAATGCAAACGGGGGTCAGCCAGAGCGCCCGATCTTGCAGGATCCTGCAGGGCCCGGGTCGCAGTGGCCCAGGTTTGGGTGCAAGATCTTGCAGGATCTTGCAGGATCCTTCTCATTGACCCGGGATTGGGTGCAGGATCTTGCAGGATTCTGCGAGGCCTGATTGACCCGGGTCTGGATTGACCCGGGTCAGAAGATTCCCGACGCACGAACATCCGAGCCCCCACACAGCGGCTTTCGTCGGCTCTCGGGGGTGCCGGTATCGCTCCCGGTCCCGGAGAGTGCTCGCCGCCACGGCAGGCACCTCGAAATTCTGGCCAGGACATGCCCTGAAAGAGATCCGCGGAGCAGCAGCGGCACGGTCGGACCGGCGTATAAGATCGAGGTCGGTTCGGGGAGGGTGCCATATTGTTCTTGATGTTTGCTGGATGTTCTTGTGCATGCGGGGGGAGGGCACGCTCGAATGTCCTTCTGTTCAGTTTGTCCGGCTGAGGGCCTGTGTCGGCCGTGTCGGGTTCGGACGACGAGAAGTATGCTCTAGGCCTCTCAGATGGGGTCAACATAGATGTGGTCGGAGGATCGCGCCGCATCGCCGATGCACCGCCGATGCGGAGCCCAGTTTTCTCTACGCCGACAGCGCCGATGTATCGCCGCCGTCGCCGATGCATCGCCGGCGCATCGCGGGTGCATCGCCGATGCATCGCCGATACATCGTCGAAGCATTGCCGATGTATCGGCGATGCGGCGCGATCCTCCGACCCCATCCACTCCGACCCCATCTAGTAGGCCTCTAGTATTGGAACAGATCACGGCGAAGTCTTTTGTTGGCCGTTTTGCGCCTTCCGGGGCCTTCGCCCGGCCACAGCACCGCCAACAAACCTATTCGGGGAGAGAAGCCGGCTCCCATGGAAGGGGTCTGGACCTCCCGGGCTGCACGTTGCGACAACAAAAAAACACGGCGTCGGAAATGTGGTTGTTTTCTTATCCTTTTTCCTCTCCTTCTTCCTTCCTCCTACCTCACCCTCCCTCCTCCCTCTTTCCCCCCCTTCCTCGTCCTCCAGCCGTTTCGCGCCCAGGGAGCGTTGCAACAGCATACCTTCGAAACGGCAAAGTGCTGTTGCGAGCCAGGCAGCCCGACTCTCACATTTCCTCCGCGAACGGACACCAACGAGACTATCGAGGCACGACATCACGACTATCTTCTGGTATCTGTTCGCGCCATGAGTGATTCTGGTCGGGACCGCATTGGAAAGGCACCATGGTAGACGAGACCGCGATGCGGGGGAGTATCATACAAGATGCTACAGGACCGCGGACAAAAAGACAACCCCCACGACTGGTTCACGCGCGACAACTTGTACACGGCGTCCATTTCCAAAGGCCACATTTTGTGCCACATTTGCACTTGCCGAAAGAAACTCAAAGGACGCTCCACTGTTAGCATTGTGGTGCTAGACCATGGACACATCCGCAGTTTCCAGGCTGGAGCTCCCGCGACACCAAGGGCGGCGAAAACGGTCGCAAAGGTGATTGCAAGGGTCGAGGAGGGAAAAGGCAGGCACGACATGTGGACGGCGCTGACAGATATGGCGAGCTCGCGGTTCGGCAGCCTCCTGGACCAGAAAACCTACCGCACGTCAGGGTCCCAACCAGGGGGAACGCAAGCAGGGGCAGTTCGAAAAACGGTCCAATGCAGAAAACGGGAGGTTCGGCACATTGAACGCGGGGAAAACCCCAATCAGGGCTATAGGGCTAGGGGGTTATAGGGCTATTGAGCTATAGGGCTATAGAGCTGTAGGGCTATAGAGTTGTAGGGCTGTTGGGCGATAGGGCTATACTGCGCGCGGCGGGGGTACTTATAAGTACTTATGCTAGTTATAAGTAACTTATGAACTTACGGCCTACTTATAAGTAACTTATAAGTAACTTATAAGTAGCCCGTAAGTAGCCCGTAACTAGCCCGTAAGTAGCCCGTAAGTAGTCCGTAAGTAGCCGCGTAAGTAGCCCGTAAGTAGCCCGTAAGTAGCCAGTGGGTTCTAAATTTCAATGGTTTTGGTTCCAAACTGTTTGCGATTTTGCTAACATGTTTTCTGTGAGTTCCATGTTCGGAGGTCGATTTTTTCAGCATGCAATCTGGATTCGTATATTTCCATGTTCGGAACAAGATTTTCGCAGGTTGTAATTACATTCGTGCGCATGATGTTAACCTGATTAAATTTCTGTTTCTGTTGTTCGCGCCTATAATTTCAATGCTAACTTAAACGAAATTCTTGACACTTCGCGTATCCCCACCAGCCCATCCATAGTGAAACAGCGCGGGCACTACTGTTGAATTGGGGAGATCTCTGGTAGCGAAGGGTGCGGGTGCTGCTGCTGGTGCTGTTGCTGCTGCTGCTGGCACTGCTGCTGCTGCTGGTGCTACTGCTGGTGTTGCTGATTCTCGTGCTGCTGGCGCTGCTGCTGGTGCTGGTGCTGGTGGTGCTGCTGCTGCTGGGCAGGTGTTGCTGGCGCTGCTGCTGGTGTCATTGCCGCTGGTGGTGCTGTGGGTGCTGGTGGTGCTGCTGCTTCTGGTAGTTTTGCTGCGGGTGCTGCTGGTGTTGCTGGTTCTCGTGATGCTGCTGGCGCTGCTGTGGTGCTGCTGATGGTGCTGGTGTTGCTGTTGGTGGTGGTGGTGGTGCTGCTGCTGCTGCTGGTGCTGCTGGTGCTGGCTGATGCTGGCGATGGTTATCGTGCTGCTGGTGCTGCTGGTGCTGCTGCTAATGCATTTGCTGCTAATGGTGGTGATGTTGGTGCTGCTGATAGTGCTAGTGCTGTTGCTGCTGCTGCTGCTAGGTGCTGCTGCTGGTGCTGCTGCTGACGGTGGTGGCGGTGTTGCTGGTGCTACCGCTGCTGCCAAGTGCTCTTGCTGGTGGTTGTAGTGATGCTGCTATTGATGCAGGTGCTGACGGTGGTAGTGAAATCAGGCAGCGTAACAACCGCCTAGGAAGCGTTTTCTCGGAGGTATTGGGATCTTCGGGCCATGTGGTGCTCGTTTGGAAGGTCTTGGGGGGGAGCTTAAATTCTTTTTGGTGGCATAGGGGACCTCTTGGAGCAGTGGCCACCATTGTTCAAAAAGAGGGGGGCTTAATTCCACCCACCCACCCCTAGGAGCTTCCAAAAAAGGCGCTCTCGCGCTCTTGGGCGCCATTGGGGCCCTCTTGGGGCCCCTTGGGCCATCTCGGGGTCATCTTGACGCCTCAAGAGCCCATCGGAAGCGAAAAAGCGAACACACCAAAAAACATTTGTTTTGCTTTGGTGTTGGTGCAAATTTGGCCTCTGTGGGTTTGAACGCGGGGGGTTGGAGGGCACTTGAAACCGTATTGGTTCGTGTCGGATGCTATCTCGAGCCACCTTGAAGTATATTTGGCCATATTGGAAGCTCGGGCTCTCTGAGGCCGTCTTGGAGCCATCTCGAGCCATCAAGGACGTTCGAACTCCTCGCAGGTAAGCCCGCCCAGACGCAGGGAAGGCAAACCTCGTTGGAAAAGGGAACGGGCTGATTGGATTCACACTTCGATGTTGTGTGCGCCGATGATAACATAATTGCTCGGGAACCGAATATACCATACGGATTTGAAGATTTTCTGGGCTCGTCGTTTGTGGTGGTGCGGTTGGGGATCTCACGAGGCACAGAGCGTGAGAGCGCATCGACTTACATCAAACCGCATGCAAACATATAATGCAGCGGCCATATAACTGTAACAGCCCCGTCGGCGCTTGATCGCCAAATTCCGTGGGCCAGCAACTCGTTAGACAAGACTAGGGTTGGCTTTTCAGCCCGCTTATATTTAGCATATCGGCCGTCTGCTTTTCTAAACTCCCACATGGAGATGCACGTCCAGTAAGTGCCGTCAACGCAGAAATGATACCAGATTTGCCCGCACTGTCGGCGCTTGTCGCCACCAAGCAGGACGACATCCAAATTGCTAAACTTCGCGCCCGATTCGGCAACGAAAGTGCCAGATATCTCGATATTGGCTGCGCGCGGAAACATTTCCCCCACTGGCATGCGCAACGCCTTCGGCAACGCACTCCAGTTGCCGCTTACGTGCGTCGAGAATTGTTTAAGGTCTGCAAAATGTTGGCAGCACAGCTCCTCCATGAGACCCCTGGTGTAGTATATGCCTCTCGACTGGCGGTTCATTGCGAACTTTTTCGGGTCCTTATGC